TGTGCCTGGAAAAATATACAAGGTTTGTTTGGTTTATAACTGACCAAATATCAAGTTGGAAGCCAGCTCGCCCCCCCAGACCTCAACTCCTACAGTCCAAGCCCAAGCACGCTTTTTTCCTTAAGCCCCTCAGTTAGAGAAGCCCCTCATCTCAGGGCTGCTCTGTAGTTGGCAGCTCCTTCAACCACTTTCGTATCCATAGCTACATGAATGGGGAGAGAAGGGCCATCTGTTTACAGCGGCAGTCACTGCGGTCAGATTGAGATTGGGTGGAGATGCACAAACACCTTCTTATTAAGAGTTACAGTACCAAACATTTGAAAACCACTGTTTCGATGAATCTGAACTATCTCTATGAAGAACTATTTTAGTAGACGGCCCTACTTTTTGAGTTGCTAAGAGAGTCTAGTGGCATTTCGTAAGGGAAAATCCCTTTAAGGAGCTCTTGGGATTAAAATCACTCTGACTAGCCCTAAATCTGGGCCACTCACTTCTTGCAGCAGAGAGCCAGGGCGTGAGCCCCAGCTTTGCTCTGTCAATCTGGCAAGATGCAGAGTGTCCCTTCCTGTTTGATGAAGAAATTGATTCTCCTTTAATGTCTTGGCTGTTGCTTCACATCATATTATGAAAACAGATGGGAGCTGCTGCTTACCTATGGTGAAACCTGCTTTGTTGCCCAGTGGTTCTCAAATGGGGGCAGTTTTGCCCCTCACGGGACATTTGCCAAGTCTGGAGTCATGGGTTGTTACAAGTGAGCACGGCCATAGGAGGAGGCTATGCTACTGGCATCTGCTGGGTAGAGACCAGGGACCTGCTAAGTCCTGCAGCTCATAGGGAAGCAGGCAGCACCCTCGACAAGGGATTATCCAGCCCAAAGTGTCAATAATGCCAACGTTGCAAAATCCTGGCCTATAGAGTTTTTCTGTAATGGGTAAGAGTTTTTTAAAATGTAAGAACGGTCATTTCTAAGGCTGTCCTCTCGGAATTAGAGCAGGGGTGTATGTCATCAGGGTCTTTCCTTGTTACTCAGTTTACAACTGGCTAAAAACCTAGCAATCCCTATGTCCTTTCCTCTAAAGCATGTTTAGTCTACAGCAAATGCACTCCTAAAAAGTGCTTTAGGAGCCAGTAGGTGATGTGGTGGTTAAGGTGGTGACTCCCACACAGCTGACCATGCGAGTCCTGTACCTGGTGGCTTGCTTTCTCACTTTCCCTCTCCTTTTCTCCTTTTCTCTGTCTTTCTCTGCTGAGCACACATGCCCTGTAGCAAACTTAAAATTAATAATTATTATAAATAAAAATAAAATAAATATTTTTTAAAACTGCATTGTTTTAATGAAAGTTATAGTGCCTGTTTTATAGCTGTCAGAACAATTTGCATGATAGTTCATTTTAAAAACTGTACCTTACCTTAAAAGATTCATAAGATGACTTACATATATTTATTACATTATACTTGAAAATTATCCTCAAGACCTTTTTTTAAAAAAAAAATTATAATTTTGGGGGACCAGCAGTTAGTGTAATGGCTATGTCGCTGGACTCCCATGTGGTCGACTGCGGTTCGCATCCCGGACCTGGTGGCTTAAAACTCACGCCGGGCGCATGTGTGTGCGTGCCCAAGATTCCGAGAGGGGAATGGAGGAGAAGGGATTGCGGCGTGGCCATCCCCCTGGGGGGTGATTTCTCACTTTCTGTCTCTCTCTGTCTGGCGAGCGCACGCACCCTATAGCAAAAAAAAAAAAAAAAAAAAAAAACCTCTCCAAAAAAAAAATTCTAATTTTCAACCAGTAGATGGCATAATGGTTATATAGCTGGATTCTCACATAGTTGATCACTGTTTGAGTGGTTGGACACAGTGGCTTAAAACTCACGCCGGGCACATACGCATGCGTACGTAAAATCCCGAGAGGAAAATGGAGGAAAAAGTGTTGTGGTGTAGCCATTCCCCCGTGGGGGGTCATTTCTCATTTTTTGTCTCTCTGTCTCTCTCTCTCTCTGACAAGTGCATGTGTCTTACAGCAAAAACCTTTCTCAAAAAAAAAAAAAAAAAAAATCTTAATTCTAAGGCCGGCAAGTAATACGATGGCTAAGGTGCTAGACTCCCACATGGCTGACTGCTGTTTGAGTCCCGGACCTGGTGACTTGAAAATCACGCTAGTTGCATATGTGTGCTCAAAATCCAGATAGAAGAATGGAGGATAGGGATTGCCGCGTGATTATCCTGCTCGGCGTAATTCCTCATTTCCCCTCTGTCTCTCACTGTCTGTCTCTGTCAGACACATATGCCCTATGGCAAAAACAAAAACACATGGTAATTCTGTCGCTGGGGAGGAAACACTTTAGTATATTATTTTTATGAATTTTAAAAACAAGTGAGATTATTCTATTTATACAACTTCATCTCCCTGAGTGGACTCTTCGTAAACATATGTTGTGCTAAGAGAAAAATGCAGGCAAAGTAAAGCAAAAAAGTTTTCTTGGGACCAACACTGAAGACAACTGCCCGGTTGCCCTGAATACTGTGCCCAAAGGCCTTACAGATTTGAGGATGATTTTAAAAGCAAAAAGCATGAACAGGGAGGGAGATTACGCAATCGTTTGTCAGAGCAGTACATTGGTTGAAAAGCGATTGCAGAAGTCTCAAACAGCAGTGATTGGCTAATAAGGGGACTGGATATTCTCGTGGTCATCCAGAGGCAGCATGTTTCACATCGAACAAAGAACAAAGAGTGGAGACAGTGAGTCTGACATTGTCCCTGCTGAGAAATAGGAACATTTTGAAGATTGTGGCTAACAGATGTGACTGAGACTCTATTGTTTATGTTTCCTGGACCTGGTAAAACTTTGCACACCTCACATTTCTTTGGGCTGATTTGCCCTTCTTTCTCACATGCAAACATTCGAACAGCCACTTAGTACTCCATCACATGAGATTGAATACTAAATTACCTTAAAACTTTGTCTGAACATACAAGTTTTTTATGATTATCAGTTATTCAGTATTGTAAATAATCTGTGATGAACATTTTATTTTTTCATGTTGCTATTTAAGTAGCACAACAATCTGGATTATTTGGAGTGTTTTGGGATATGGATATTTAATTCCTAGCCCATGACAGAAACAGGACAGAATATTCTTATACCTGATGTTGCTGAGAAGGAGACACTATTCTGAACACCCATCTGAAAGGAAAGTTCTAGAATCCTTGAGAATGTGAATTTAAACTTGGGTAGATCAACCATAGTATATAAGCAGATATACACAGGGTCTTTAAACAGTTCATGGAAAATGAGTATTATAAACTAGCCCATGAATTTCAAAAATCGTTTGCACATACACACAAAAACTTGTACTTTAATTCCATTTTCCATGAACTTCCTGAAGTCCTCCATTTGTAAAAGCCAACAAAGAACAAAAATATGGGAAGATAAACACCAAACCTTTAGCCATAATGACTGTAGGATGATAAATCTGGATCAAGAATAAAAACAGAGAGGCAGACAGGTGGCAAGGTAGTTAAGACACTGGATCCCACATGGCCAACTCCATGGTTCAAGTCCTGAATTCAGTGGCTTGAAAAAAACACCAGACATGTGTGCTAGGTGCCCAAAATTCTAAGAGGAGAATGGAGGAGAAGGGTTTGAGACATGGCCATCCCCCTAAAAGGGATGATTTATCATTTTCCCTCTCTCTTCTGAGCATATATGCCCAATGGCAAAAAAAGTAAAAATCTAAAGAAAAAAAAAAAAAGCAAAAAGGAGGCAAAGGCAGATAAGAGGCACTTTGAGTTTTTCCATTATCTTTATTCTTTTTTTTTTTTTCTTTAGATTTTTACTTTTTTTGCCATTGGGCATATATGCTCAGAAGAGAGAGGGAAAATGATAAATCATCCCTTTTAGGGGGATGGCCATGTCTCAAATCCTTCCCCTCCATTCTCCTCTCGGGATCTTGGGCACGCACGCACCCGCGCCCGGCGTGAGTTTTAAGCCACCGGGGCCGGGACGCAAACTGCAGTCGACGACGTGGGAGTCCAGCGACATAGCCATTACACTAATTGCTGATCCCGATTATCTTTATTCTTTAAATAAACTGATCCATAACTCATGTGACATTGACAACAATATATTTTATTTATTTTTTTTATTTTTGGGAGGAATATGTTTTTTTTTAAGAATTATTTTAATTTTATTCATTATCACTTTATTTTATTTTATTTTTGAAGTTGACCAGAGAGAGAGAAGGAAAGTGAGAAAGCAAGCTGCCAGGTCTGGAACTTGAACCATGGTCAGCCATGTGGGAGTACAGCCGCCTCAACAACAGTATGTTTTAGAGAACAAATTGGGTCATCCAGGAACAGAAGCTTAATTTGTGTAAGCGAAAGTTTTTAGTTTTGTTTTTAAGGTTTTTGCTATAGGGCGTGTGAGCTCACCAAAGAGACAAAGAGAGACAGTGAGAGGGAAAATGAGAAATTACCCCCAGAGGGTATGGTCACGCTGCAATCCCTTCTTCTCCATTCTCCTCCTGGGATTTTGGGCATGCATGTGCATCCACCAGTGTGAGTTTCAGGCTGTCAGATCTGGGACTCGAACCATAATCAGCCATGTGAGATTCTTGCACCTTAACCACCATACCATCTGCTGGCCCCCTTTGGCTCCTTTCTTTAACCAGTGCTAGCACAGTGTTTGTCACATTGTGGGTGGTATGCCTGGAGATGGAGGTGTGTTTTGAGAGAAGCGCGGACATGCCCTTAGATGATGGGCCTTCGTTACTTGTTCTCACAGTGTGCTAGATGAGACTCCTCTGCCTCTTGCACAAGACTGTGGATGGAAACACTTGATCTAGCCCAGGGGCCTGGTGGTTTCAGGTGGATGGGCTTGCATTACCCTTGGCTCCATTGTTGCCACTCTCCGTGCTGCCATAGCTAGGGTTTCCCTGTGAGGTGCATGCAGCCAGTACCCAGGCCAGTAGGTGGTGAGATCGCTCTCGTCTCTTTCAGGTCGTACACCTGGTCCCTGGCTCCAGGCCGAGGCTACTGGGCAGAGCTCCGATGACATCAAAGGCAGAAATTCTCAGGTAACACACAGTCTCTGAATGTAAAACCAGGAAATCTCAGGGAGATGGAAATGTTGAATGCGCTTTCTTCTCAACAGATGAGTATTCTCCCTCAGACTCTTTTTCCTCAGGGGAAGCGATTTGGTATACTTTTGTTTCAAGCAGTAATATGAAATACTCACAATTTAAACATCTGAAGGGTGAAAGAGGACTTCCCTGGAATCCCCACCACACATAGAATCACGTTAAGGAACTCAGAACCTTTAAGAATCATTCTGCAAGAATCATGCTGACCCCTGCCCATTCTTCCTTGGTTATGGTGGCTTGGGAAGCCAGTGAGGAAAATGCTATAATGTTTATTATAAAACACAGTTCAGTGTTCTCTCTCATCTATAGAATACATGTTTTCTTTTGGCACTCTTGGGGTTGTATTTTTTCCCCATCAATATCAATTATTAATTTGGGTCACCTATCTTTACAATTGAAGCCCTGGTGGGCTATAGGAAATTCACAGAGCTGGACAGGAAACCAGACAGATGCCTGTGTGGTAAGACAGTGTGAAGGAATCCTCTTTCTCTCACCCAGAGCGATTTACAGAGAAGCGTGTCCTAACCCACACAGAGATAGCATCTCTTACTGCACATGACAGGGTCTCATCTCTGGAAGTTCTTTGTTTCTGTGAAAACATGTATTCAGTCCTGCCCTGGCCTCTTCCTGTTGCAGAGTTCTATGTGACAGACAACAGGGAGCCTTGCTAGTCAACTGGGTCATTTTGCAGCTGTATGGAACATCAAGAAAGGTGATCTGAGAAGGAAAAGACTAAGTTCCTGGCAGCTAGGAAGAATTCCTTGGAGGAGGAGGTAATTCCTCCAGCAGAAAAGCTTCCTCCTTTCCTAACCATAGCTAATCAAAGAATCAAAATAACCATTCTCAGATGATCACAGGTTTAAAACTGACTGTATGGGACCAGTAGATGGTGTAATGGTTAGATTGCTGGACTCCCACATGGCTGACCGTCGTTCAAGTCGCAGACATGGCAGCTTGAAACTCAACGCTGGGCCCATGTGCGTGCATGCCCAAAATCCCAAAAGGAAAATGGAGGAGAAAGGATCGCGGCATAAGCAATCCTCCCTGGGGATGATTTCTCATTTTCTGTCTCTTTAGCGAGCGTACCCTATAACAAAAATCTCTTAAAAACAAAAACAAAAAAATACTGAGTATATGATTCTAGGAAGAAGTATCTATACATAGAAGGAAAAAAAAAGACAAGAAAAATATACACAAAATTGTCAATGGGAGGAGAGGATTCTGAGATGATGACAGAGTAGGAAACACTGCCCCACGTGGACAGCAATTGCATTGTTAGAATTGGTCTGATGTAACTGTTTTAGAATTCTGTTGGGGTCTGTTGAAGGCTGCCACTTCTGGCTTGGGAAGCAAAATATGATTCATTTTCATCAGTTTTAGCTCCTAGCGTAGAGCAGCTTCCCACCCCCACCCCCAGCACTGCAGCAGCCATGTACTTGTTCTTGGAGAAGCTCACACACAGCTTACTGGAGCCAAAGTGGACCAAAACCAAAAACAAAACAGTGGATCTTCCAAATATGGGGGCCCTGAGCTCTGATCTCATTGCTGCTTTTGGTTACAGAGGTACAAAGAGCTGAGCGGCTATTGTTGCTATGCCTCTCCCATTGTTACAGGCCTCTCGGCCTCTGGCTGAAGTGACTTCCAGAGGATTTTATAGAGCTGGCACCCTTTTTCCCCCCTGATCTTAATTTTTCTTTTTCTTCTTTTGGGAGCCAAACTTTAAAGACTAGGACATTCAGAGATAACTGCATATATGAGAGAAATCAGAATGTGATCATATATGCTTAGACTCAGACAAGACCTGATAAGACCTTAAGATTAGGCTTAAGGTTAAGATCAGGCTAATTTTTTTTAGTTTTAACTTTTAAAAGCAACTTTATCTAGGTATAATTCATAAAATTCATCCATTTAAGCATGCCAGTTGGAAGTTTTTTAACATATTCAAAGAGTTGTGTAACCATCTCCACAATCACTTTTAGCATTCCCATTATCCCAAAAAGAAACTTTATACCCATTTACAATCACTCTCCATATGAGTTTTCTCTGCTTTTTGGCTATTACGAATAATGCTGCTATGAACATCATGATCAAGTTTTTTGTGTGAATATATGTTTCATCACCACTTCTGTTCAACATAGTACTGGAACCTAGGCAATTAGGTAAGAAAAAGGAATAAAAGGCATCAAAATTGAAGAAGTAGTAAAATTATCTCTATTTGCAGATTATGTGATCTCATATATAAATATTCCACCCAAAGAGCCTGTTGGAACTAACAAGCGAAGTAGCAAGATACAAAGTCAACAGACAAAAATCAGTTGCATTTCTATACACTAACAACAATCTGAAAAGGAAATTATAAACGCAGTTCCATTCACAATAATAGAATCAAAAGAGTGAAATATTTAGTAAGTGGAAGCTTGAACAGTGAACACTACAAATATTGCTGTAAGGAATTAAATAAGACATGTATAAGTGAAAGCACATGGAATAGAATAAAAAGCCCAGAAATAAACCCTTCTATATGTGGTCTAATGATTTTTTGACAAGGGTGCCAAGATCACTCAATAGGGAAAGGATAGTCTTTTCAACAAATGGTGCTGAGAAAACTGGATATCCACATGTTAAAAAAAAATGAAGTTGGACCCTACTAACACCATATACAAAAATTAAGTCAAATGAATCGAAAGACCTAAATGTAAGACCTGAAACTGTAAAACTCTTAAAAGAGAATATATGGCAAAACCTTTACAACATTTAATTGGACAGTGATTTCTTGGATACAGCACCAAAGGCTCAGGCAACAGAAGAAAAAAATTGACAAATTAGACTTCATGAAAAATTTTTAAATTTTGCATCAAAAGACAGTATCAACAGAGTAAAAAGATAACCCACAAAATGGCAGAAGATATTTGCAAACCATATGCCTGATAAGCAATTAATGTCCAGAATATATAGAGAACTCCTAAAACTCAACAACAAAAATAAAACAACCCGATTCAAAAATGGAGAAAGGACTTAAATAGCCATTTCTCCAGAGGTATACAAATGACCAATAAGCACATGAAAAGATTCTCAACATCATTAATCATTAGGGAAATGCCAATCAAAACCACCAATTACACCTCATACCCATCAGGAAGGTTACTAGCAAGAGAAAAATAAATAGCAAGTGATAGCAAGGATGTGGAGAAGTTGGAACCCTTGTACGTTGATGGCAGAAATGTAAAATTATGTAATTGCTATGGAAAACAGTCACCTAAATCACCCACGAGTGGTAGATAAAAATCACTCCCCTAACAGTCTAGTTCATGGATTGTAAAGTCTCTTTTTAGGAGATCCTCAAAAAATTAAAAATAGAATTACCATATGATCTATCACCTCCACACCTGGATGTATACCTAAAAGAATTAAAAGCAGAATTTTCAACACCTATTTCATAGCAGCATTATTCACAATAACTAAAATGTGAAATCAACCCAGGTATCCATTGATGGATGAATGGATGAACAGATTATGGTAGGAATTTCTGACACCCACTACAGCATGGATAAATCTTAAAGACATCATTTAACTGAAATAAAACAGTTACTAAAAGACAAAGACTGTGTGATTCCACTTGCATGAAGTACTTAGAGTAGTCAAAATCACAGAGACAGAAAGTAGAATGGTAGTGGCCAGGGGCTGGGGGGAGGCAGAATGGGGAGTTACTGCTTAGTGGGTACGGAGTTTCAATTTTACATGGTGAAAAAAGATGGATGATGGTGATGGTTCCATATTAAAAATGGTTAAACAGTAAATTTTGTATGAATAAAAAGAATGAGAAGGGCTGGCCCCTTCGTACAGTGGTTAAACGTGCACAGGGAAAACAGATCCCAGCTCCTGCAATTTGAAAAACATCCTGGGTGACCAACTCCAGACCAGCTCTTCAAGAAATTCTGAAAGGAGTACTATACCAAGAAAAAACTAAAGAGACAGACAGCAACAAAACAAAAAAACACCAAGAATATGGCCAACTTAATTTTAGGGACAAGTCTGGAAATATCAATAACAACATTGAATGTTAATGGATTAAATTCTCCTATCAAGAGACACAGGCTGGCGGAATGGATTAAAAATCAGAAATTTTCCATCTGCTGCCTACAAGAAACCCATCTCACGGATAAAGACATATACAGACTAAAAGCGAAGGGCTGGAAAAAGGTATTCCATGCAAATGGAAAACCAGAAAAGGATCAGAGTCACTATACTGATTTCAGACAAAATAGACTTCAGGACAAAACCGTAAGAAGGAACAAAGAAGGGGACCAGCAGTTAGCATAAGGCTATGTTGCTGAACTCCCATGTAGTCGACCATGGTTCAAGTCCTGGACCTGGTGGCTTAAACTCACGCCGGGCGCGTGGCGTGTGTGCCAAAGATCCCAAGAGAAGAATGGAGAAGAAGGGATTGCAGCATGGCCATCCCACCTGGGGGTGATTTCTCACTTTCTTTCTCTCTGTCTGTCCCTGTCTTTCTGGTGAGCACACACCCCCTATAGCAAAAATCTCTCAAAAAAAAAAAAGAGAGAGAGAGAGAGTGACAAAGAAGGGCATTATATAGTAGTAAAAGGGCTAATTCACAAAGAAGTTATAACACTTATAAATATCTATGCACCAAATTTAGGAGCACCCAAATATGTAAAAGAAAGACTATGAGATCTAAAAAGAGAGATAGACTGTAACACAATAATTTTTGGAGACTTAACACCCCATTATCTCCTTTAGACAAGTCAGCAAGACAAAAAATAAGCAAAGAGATCCAGGACCTAAATGATAGCATACATCAGATGGACTTAATAGGCATCTATAGAACTTTCCACCCCCAAAACAAAAAATATACATTTTTCTCAGCCCCATATGGTACTTTCTCAAAGACTGACCACATAATAAGGCACAAA